TCGAGGATAACGCACCACCTTGATCTTGCTTAGGAATCGCTGGGTGGTATATAGCCTATCCAAAATCAATAGTTTGCAAGGTCACCGACCTATCTATTTTCTTTTTTTCTTTTTTTTTTTTTTTATTATTTACTGTGTGTTTTATACCAGGAAGAGTCTTCAAAGTAAATATTATTCTCACATTATCAGTTTCCTAAATTATAGAAATATTCTAGAGAAGAATTTGAAGGTTGGGTGACCTTGAACATTCCAATAATTCCACGTAGACCGTATCTCCCATGGAAATATGCGGTTTTCAAGGTCTCCTCACCATCTTTCAATCATTTCTGAATTTTCAGCACAGTTGAGGTGACTCGATAATTTTTTAACATGATATTTCTGCTAACCGGTGACACGTTTTGATCGCTAAAACGTTTTCTGCAACGTGACAACGTTCGAAATCGAATACCTTCCACGGAAGAACCCGCCAGCAAGGAATCTCAAGATCCTTATCAGACGAACTTTTCTCGCGGACGATGGTGTGCACGTGTACGGGACGCACATGTGCATCGATCGCCTACCTGCGGGGCGGTAAAAAGGGGGAAAAAGGAAGAGGAAAGAGGCGAGTTAGATGCTTGTATCCTCTACGCACTCGTGCCAATGCGGCCGGATAGCGATGGCTTCGAGTCATTCGAGTATCAATTACCTCTACGTATGGTATATTTTGAAATTAATACACTTGGGGTTCTCAAATGACATCTAATTAAAGATGACATCATGAAACTCCTTGATCTAATGATAATTGAACTAAATCTTGCAGGATCCCTCTGGAAATTTTAAATTCATTCTACGGACCTCCGAGTGTCACATATTGAAACAGAATCCTAATGCAAACGCTACTCTTTCGGAAGAAGCATCGATCTTCGCTCTGAAAGCTGCTGAACTTTTCAAGATTTTCGAATTCCATCTTGAGAATCCCTGGAAGCAACGATCCACAGATAGATTTGTTCAAAAATGAGCGAGAAAACAGAGTCATCGCTACGTTCATGCGTGTGCATGTGTAAAAGGCAAGCTTCTCCAGCTGTATGTGGAGGGGGCAGACGACGGGACGAGGCGGATGAATGAATGAATCTTAAGACAGTCGTGTAAGAGGGGCATTCACGAATCCACGGCTGTTTTCAGCGCGACCACGTATCCCTTAGCTCTCTTCCTGTCCATCGAGAAAAACCGCGTTACCATTATCCTCTGTCGCGTTATCTCTCTGTGCTCTTCTGATCAATTCTCTCGATTCTCTTCGTTTCAATGTTGCTGTTGATAATCAGTGATCACACTTTCGACTTGACCAGTCGAATTTGTCGATAAACCGCGTCACGCCGCTTTCTTCGGGCTCTCCCCGGGGCCATTAGGACATCATGGAAGCCACTTTCTTCGGCGAGAAGAAGATCCTCCCACGGAATGGATATTATTCTATCCGTTTGTCACTCTGAGAGACAGTCTGCTAAAACGATTCGAAGAGCTTTTTGTGCATCGAGAAGTGGAGAAGATTCAGAATCTTGTGGAATTTTTTTCTCATTTACGAGGGAACCAGGTGTTGAGGATTCACTGTGTGACCTTGTCCTTGAATCTCTGTGAACCATTCGGGGGGGGGGGGGGCAATCATAGGAGGAGAGCTCGTTGATTCTGGCCTATTCTCATTGATACTAACGGTGGATGGAAGTTGGGTTCATGACACCTGAGGATTCTAGTGAATATGGAGGTCTCGTCGAGGAGAAGGTGTCTCTGGCAGCCGTGGCTCACCACGGAGAACTTTCGAGCGGTGTACAAGCCCGGAGGTATGTGAAGAGGCGACCTCTTCCTTCGAATTTTCAATTTAGATCGGCTGTTCATTGTCAAGGGGATCTGAGTGTTCAATGAAAAGTGGAAAGAGAGTGTAAAATTTCTTTGTAAAAATTCTGACCTACTAAAGAGTATAGCCTGGACTCGTCTACTGTTGTTTCACCAGTAATGTGATATGATCTCTTCAAGAATGAAAAATGTTGGTTTTAAAAATGGTCCCCTAATTTTGACTGAAAGAAAAAACGGGAGAAAGAAAGTTGTGCCCGTAAAATAATCGAAATTATAATTTCTCGTTGGATTTTCAGGAGCTTCAGCTCTGGTACACCCTGTAGAGCGACGAATTCGAGCAAAGTATGGCAAAAGTGAGCAGCTAGAGAGTTAATTGAACGGAACGATCTCTGGTCCATTCATCTTTTCCCTGGCCGCTGGGACTCATCCTTCGCCTTTAAACCAGTTTGACCGTCTTCCTGACGATCCTCTCACGGCTATTAGGCACTTCCTGCCCCATCCTGGGAACCAGACTCGTTTCTCTACTCACCCTTTTCTTTCTCTCTCTCTCTCTCTCTCGTTCTTTCACGGGTTGCTAGATCGATTTCCAATTTTAGATTACGCGGGGATCGGAAATAGGTGATCCGTGACGTTTTATAAATAAATTAAACGTCACAGTGGAGGCTCAAGGACATACATACACGCTGTCTTCGTTTTTATTTTCTTTCTTTAATTTATTGCTTCTTCTGATATGATCTAACCACTCGTTCAACTAAAGATACCAGTGAAGTTCAAATTGTAGGAGGGACACAGTAGGAACTACAGGGTGGCTAAAAAACCCGGACCCGTTTTTTCATCTCCGAGCTATCAGTCCATACATGCAACAAAGCAAATCGTGAAATAGAAGTTTTTACCGCTCACAAGGCCATGCAAAATTTTAATCGTGTCCAAAATCAATTGGCTGCTCAAGGAGACTTCCCATCGCCATGTCTAACATTATCAAGATCTGCTATGATTTTTATGATAAATCTCAGAACGTTGAAATAGCATCAGAGTCCCTTGAGCTTCCAATCAACTTCCAAAGGAAGAACAATCCAAGAAGAATAAAAAGAGAATCATGCAAGATTTTTTTTTCTGTGCAGAGGAGAGGCCAAAGGCGACGAATCTCCACCGGAAACCGAGCAGCGCGTGGCGCAAGGAGCGTAGGAGGGATCCGATCCAAAGTGAGGCGCTGGACATGTCCGCGGCACGGGTCCATCATCATCATCATCACAGCAGGCCCAGTGTGATCGTGCCCACCACACCGCAACCTGGTAAGCCTGGTGGCTGCTTCGTTAAGCGAGAGTGGTTGGCTGGCGTTGTTCTTGGCCTCGCGGGGGGCAGCCAGGGCCAGCTATTGTCTGGCACAGGGGCGACTGCGTGCTTTGACAATGCTCTTGCATGATGCACGCCACGCAGATGCATGGCTGCTGCTGAATGGAGGAATACATGGTTAATCTCGGCTTCGAGCTGGAGAATTCCTTGGAGCTTGGCTCTGGGAGTGAAAACAACCAGTCAGTGTTCGATATTCTAGATTTATAGAGAGTTTTGGAAATTTAGTTTCATTATTGTCTTTTGATAACAGTAGTTGATACTTTCTTGATCATTTTCTAACGATAGAAAATTTTCGTTCACCAGGTACAACGATCGAGGACACAGCAGTAACGCCTACTCCGTCGCTGACACCCTCAGCTGCAGCAGGAGGCCAAAGAACTGGGGTCAGAACCGTGGGTGGCGTGAGTGATCCTGCAATAGACGAGCACTTCAAGCGATCTTTGGGCCTGGAAGAGTACGCTGCGGTGTTCAATGCGACTAGCAGTGATAAGGAAGCAGGTCTCAGTGGTGAGTCCTGTATTTTCTTAAAGATATAAATCATTTCACGCGAGAAATCTAATTTGTTCGTTTGTTCTATCCTGTTCTTCAGTGGATGATCACTTTGCCAAGGCACTTGGGGAAACCTGGACGAGGCTGCAGGCGACCAGCAGAAGCAAGGACTCCACCTAACTGCCGGACAGTTTACAGGAAGTCTCCATCATCCTCGTTGCGTCGTTATGGTTGCCTTCGAATCCTTCGCCGATGATCGTGTACCATTCTGTGACGACCAGTGTGGCTTCGTTGCTTGTGTGAAAGTGTTAACAACGTCTGTGGGAGGAACATGAGCAACCAACGAACTCTATATTATTAATATTATTGCTATTACGTAGGCTCGCGTGGGAAGCAGAATGAAAGAGTACCCAAGTGTCCTTGAAAGCGTCACAGATGCTCCCTGACGAGTGTCCAGTTCAATCTGTGGCCTGTACACGCGATTCTCTAACCTCTTGCGACAATTGTACTCGACATATTGTGTATATATAGACGCGTATTCTTTTATCATGCCATCATCGCGCGGCCCAAGCGGTCTGAAGTTATTTATTATACGATGTTCCATACTGCCTCGCTAAATACTAGAGATCCGTTTATTCATTTTTTTTTAGCCTCTTTTCTTATCTGCTTAGAGATGAGAGAAGGAGGACCGTGAACGGATATACTTGTACGTAATTAATTGTTCGCCTAAACGTTTATATATATATATATGGTTATATATAACGCGTACACGTTGTAATTATAGAGAGAGAGATACCGGGAGTCTTTATAATAATAAAGTGCGTAGTAGAGAGTAAGCGCGGATAAACCGTCGTTGCACAAACTTGTAACACGTGTTCACCTCATTGACACTATATACAATAATGTATCAGAGAAAAAGGATAAATAAGAAAGAAAAAAGCGGATATACTTGAAAAGAACGAGCAATTTTCTTGCTACCTGGAAGTATACGTGTATCCCTCTTCTGTACTCCCCTCTGTTCTAATGATGAACACTTGTAGATTGCTAAGAAGAGTAGTACTGATTTCAAATGGTGCTAGGAAGTCTAGCACAAACCCCAGCACACACAGAAGTCAGTACCTCTGCCTTCTTATTATCCTCAGAGCCTTTTCAAAAACATTTTTCAGTGTCCTCCGTTGACGAACCCAGGGCTACTGTGACTCGAAAACTCTCCATGTTCCTAGTTTTGCGACGACATTTGCCAGTGGGAGTTATCACTTTCCTTAAAAGAAATAGACACTTCTATCCAAGTATAACGACAATTCCACTGCACAGTGTGTTTCTGGCAACCTCGGAGTGACAGACTGGCCTGTACCCTCGGTATGAAGTACCCTCCAGTTGAAAAAAAAAAAAAGAAAAAGAGGAAGTCTGCGACACTTTTTTCGGCGAAACGTCGTCGAGTCGAGTTGAGGCGAGGATGGTGGCCCGGGAGAGGCTTTACGTGTCGTAGGTGGGCCCAGACCTAACCCAGACTGTCCCAGGAGCGCTCGGATGGCTTCCTATATGCAGGCAGCCTGTTCACTTGCCGTAAAGCAAAATGGTAACTTAATATTAGACTTGAATATAAGTACGGTAATCCCACACCAGAGTCCAAAGTAAGCCTACACCTACCCGCCGGCCATCCCTGGACCTCGGTTCCCCCTTACGAACGCCCTCGAGCGTAATAATACGATGGGATACTAGATATCGGTGCTCTCTGTGCTCCTAGGTGCAAATTGCGACCACCTATGCAACGCTCTCTGCCGTCCCTGTTTCTCCGTTTCCACGTTGTAACATCGTCTCTCTTCCTGTCAGCGAACCTCTTCAGGCCTGTCCACCGCTAAGACGACTCTTTTCTCCGAAGAAGCGACCAACCAACCGGATTAGAACACATCTACTCAGCTGGATCTTTACTCTCTTGTGTAGTTTCTTTTTCTTTGCAGTTTACAAACGAAACAAGTTATGCCGATTGACTTTTTAAGAAGATATAAAAACCTATGCACCTAGGGGCGAAAAAAATTGACAGAATATCATTCTTATAACTTATCGAACCCTAAAGAAGCCTAACAAAAATATCTCATCATAATAATCTCCTTTCCAATTGTTTTCCATCGTTGGAACAAAGAAGTCGAACAATCCTTGAAAAGATCCTAGATACGGCGCGTAAAGTGTTCGTTTACCGTTAAGAGCAAAAATTGTGGTTTTTCGAGGGAAACGAAGCGTCTCTGTTTTTTTCTTTTTTTTTTTGCGTAGAACGAGGAATCGTAGAAACTCGATCCCGTTTTCCAAGCGTCGTTTCTTTTCGTTTTTTTTTCTTTCAGGGAAACGCTGTCGCGAGTGCTCCTCGAAGTGCGACGACCTTCGCGCCGCGAAGAACTAGGATAAACCAGTGGTCTGCGTGTCTCTCCTGGACCTGGAGTAAGCTAATCCGACCGCGTATCATGTTTGCAGCCCCTTTAAACGATACTGATACTCCTTAGTCGCGAAAGTAGCGTGCGTTCCTACCTCCAGACAGTTTCTTCATCTCTTCTCGCGATCACAGACATGGAAATCCTGATTCTATAACTGTACATCGATATTCGATTCACTGAGAAGTTTGAAAAGAAAAAAAATTCACCTACTTGTGAATTCAATTTCTCCAGTGATCGGAGAGTATGGGAAAATTTTCAACGAGGTAACCCTAAGTTTTTTTTACTATTATTCTATCGTACGACAGATGTCGTAGGTTGTTTTTTTTTTTTTAACGATAATCGACGATTTTCCAGGGCGAGATGACTATTTGACATCGGGGAACACGGTTTCTAGCAATTTCGTGTTAATCAGCCAGAGGGGGTGAGACACAGCTGGAAATAGGCCAGTAGATCGCGGGCAGATGCTAGCGGAGGCTATTTCCCAGTGCACGCAGGTGTTTCCACGACTGTCCTAGATGGCGTAATTTTTCCTATATATCACTCGGAAGGGGAGTCACCGGGATTAGGACGGAATTAAACGCATTCTGGAATGCTGGCCACATTTTTGATGAAATTCAGACGCTTACAGGAGTCTGTTTGGCTAAGTGAAAAAGTTGTGAGGAATATCGTGGGAAGCCTGCAAAGGTTTAAATTTAGAGATTTAAATGTGGAATTTTTCATTAACCTAAATAGTGCGAAATTGTGAGGAATAAAGTGAAGGTTTGGGGAATGTTTTGAGAAGGATCGTGAGAAAATAATGAGAAATTGAAAAATTTCCAGAATCTGTTTCGATGATATTTACAAAACTCTAGAAACCGTCGAATTTATAAGAAATTTCATTTAAAGAAAGAAAGAAAGAAAAAACGTATAAAACGAAGAATTGAAGTTCTGCGATTTGAAGTGTTTATTCATTTGAATCGGAAGAAATCACGGTTCGTTTTTTCTTTAAAGGTATTATCGTTGGTTCTATTTCGAGAAACAAAGGTTACAGGAAGGATTCTT